TTCCAGGGATGGGCTCTCTGGACATGGGGGAAACTTCCAGCAGCTTCTCACAGAATCCACCGCTCCCCTGCCAAGTGCAAACCCCATCCTCAGAGTGAGAATGTCCTGACTGCAATGCAAAGGCTGCTGTGGCCCCTGTCTAACCTCTGTGTGTCTGTTTCCCCAGGTCCCACCCCCACGAGCTGGCCCTGGGCTCCGAGCTCAGCCCCTCCATTGTCACCGTCATCAGCGGGGAGGAGCATTTCGAGGATTACGGGGAGGGCAACGAGGCCGACCTGTTCCCAGACCCTTTGTGTAATGGGGAAAGCAGCTTTGGCAGCTCCTCCTTCCTCTCTCCCAGGTAATGCCCAGCCCTGGTGCTGCTTCACTCTGCTCTCTGGGACTGGGGTTTCCCTGGGATTTGCCAGCCTGGCAGGCTCTGGATCCAAAGGGATAATAGGTTTGGAGGTGGAGGAGGAATTCTCCTCCTCAGTGGTTTCTTTCCATGGTCAGTGCCTGTCCTGTGACACCCAGCAGGCAGTGGAAGAGCTGTCTGCATTTCCAGTGTCACACTCTCCATCACTGAACCCTCCACGAGAGAAAACCACCTGCAGCTTTACCCCTGATCCTGCAGGATGACTCCAATGTTTTTTTTCCTCTTTTATTATTTTGGGCTTTGATGCAATGTTTGGTTGGATTTGCATGAGCTGCAGCAGCATTCCTTCTCCAGGGATATTTAGAGCAGGAAGCAGGCTGTAGTATTTCCTCCTTGCCTTAGGGTCTGAAACCAGGAAAAAGTTAATTTCCCAGTCTGAGCAGGATGGGCTGAGGAGCTGGTGGGGTAGTTCACACCCTATCAATACTTACTGTCTAAAGAAAATTAGTAAAAGCTGGAATATCATCAGTGCTGCAGCCCACAAAGTGCCTGGGATGACAGGTGACACTGGGAATGTGTTCCTGCATTGGAGGCACAGCTCTGCACAGGGCAGGATTCCCTGCCAGCCACACACCTGTGCTAAAGACAAAAATATACTTCTTTCTCTTTGCTGTGACACATCTGTGCCTTTCTGCAGCCATGTAAACTTCCCAAAACTTCTTTTTTTCCCCATCTTCCTGTTTTTCCCAGCTTCCCAAACCCTTCATGGAGTTTGGACAATTCTGGGTGCACAGGGTTGGCAGGGAAGAGCAGGTCAGGGCTCATCTCTTTTTGGCTGGTGCAGCAGCAATGTTGGAGGTGTTAATGGCAAACAGGAGAGTTGCTGTGAAGAATCCCCAACCTTTCCCTTTAGGAAAGCAGTGCTCCAGCCCTGGGATACCCTGCACAGTCTCTGATCCCTGCTTGTCCTTACTCAGTGCAGGAATGTGGGGCTGGCTGTGCTGGTGCTGTGGCACAGGAAGAACTCTGATTAAAACCCAGCCTTGCTGTTCATTTTTCCTGCCAGCCTCATCCAGAAGGCTCCTGGCAAGGAAATACCCAGCTAAAGGAGCTTTTCAATCTCTTGAACTTTTTCTTTACCATCAGGCCAGGGCTCCCAGTTTCCCCACGCTGCCAGTGTTCCAATCTTGCTCTGCCAGGGCAGCATCTCTGCTCTGCTCTGTCTCTGGATCTGATCCACTCCTTATCCCATCTTCCCTGTGCAGGGAGGGGCTCCCTGGGCACGTGGCCACACAGCTTGTGGTGGTTTGTGCTGGAGCTTCTCTGCTGGGGCTTGCTGGGGAGGGAGGCTGCAGATAAACCCTGCAAAGCCTCTGGAGTCAGGAATGTGGGGCTGTTGGAGCTGAAGGATTTCCTCATGCCTCTCAGGCCTAGCCTCCCCTTGGATTATTGCTGTGTGCGTGAAATCCTGCCCTAAACATTCCCTGAGTCTGTGCAGCTCTTCTGACTTTGGGTAGGAAGGGACAGGACACAGGGAATGGCTCCCACTGCCAGAGGGGCTGGATGGGATATTGGGAATTGGGAATTGTCCCCTGGCAGGGTGGGCAGGCCCTGGGAAGCTGTGGCTGCCCCTGGATCCCTGAAATGTCCAAGGCCAGGTTGGATGGGGCTTGGAGCCACCTGGGATAGTGGAAAATGTCCCTGTCCATGGCAGGGGTGGGGTGGGATGGGCTCTAATGTCCTTTCCCACCCAAACCATTCCATGCCTGAACAGCTCCAGTGTGTTTAAACACACCTGAGGGGGGGACACAGGCTGTCCCTGGTTCAGGCTGAATGGTTTTTTGGCTGTATTTTGAATACAAAGCACAGCATCCCATCACCACAGCCCCTTTCCATGCTACAAGAGTGTCTAGATGGGAATAATTTCTAGAAATTCTCCTGCCACAACTCCAGAAGATGAAGACAAACCCCAAGAGCCTTCAGGGAACACTGTGGGGTGCAGTGCTTCCCTGCTCAGTCCTTGTATTCTTTGTGATCCCTCCTCTTGAGCCTTCCCTTGCATATCCATCCAGAAGGAAAAGCCTCTTTGCAGCTCTCAGTGGGAAATAAAAGGAAAAGCTCCTTGAGCCCATCCCAGCCACCAGGAAGGACCTGGGGAAGACAAATGTTGCTCCAGGAGATGGAGGGAGGCTCTGTGTTGTACAAGCACAGAATGTGCTGAGCTGGAGGGGACCCATCAGCATCCTGGAGTGGGTGGGGACAGCCCAGGGCTGAGCTCTCACCCACTGCAGGGGCAGGGAGCCAGGGCAGCCAGGGGCAGCAGGATCTGCACACACCCCAGCAGCTGCCAGCCTGCCCTCAGGCTTCTCCTCCACACTGCTCTTCTCATGTTGATTAATGCTGGTTAAATTTGGGTTCCCACCTGGGAAGGGAATGCACCCAAGAGCACCCGGAAAAGGGACATCCCTTCCCCCAGGTGCCACTGTCACCCCTTCCCTGCACAAACCCTGAGCCTCCAACCTGTCTGCTGCTGGGAGAAAGTTATCCCAGGGCCACACCTGCCCTGAGGGGCAGGGGAATGGTTTGCAATTGAATTTTTTTTTTTTTTCCAGGAATAGGAAGAGACGATAATTTGGCATTTGCTGGTGTCCAGCCTGTCTGAGAGGGCTGGGGAATACTGTGCAGACAGCCCAGCCTCCAGGCCTGACCCTGGGCTGGGGGCTGGGCCAGGGCACCCTCAGGATGCCCCAGGCCAGGAGTTTCTGGTGTGTTTGTGTATCCCAGGATTCACTGCCCCTCCCTGATGCCTGTTGGGTTTATCTTGCTTGTGTTTGCTCACACCTTTACCTGTCTCTCTTATGGAACTGCTTGGGTTTTTCACTATTTAACCTTTCTTTGTTTCACATCCGTGGCTTCCAGAAGCACAGGAAGGGTTTGTGGAGTCTGGCCCCAAATGAGCACAAACCATTTGCAGCTGAGAATCCTCTCTGTCCTGCCCAAATCATGAGGAAGTGTCTCCCAGCTTCCCAAGCTGTGAAAGCCCTACAGACCCCATGGCCCATTCCCTGCAGGAGCACAGCACTGCTGCTGGGCTGTGCTTTGGAGGAGTGAGGTGTTAGTGCACCTGTCCATTTCATCTTGGCTTAAAAGTGAAAAATTTCCAGTGAAAATCTATCTCTGTGCTTTACTAAGGCAGGTCTGCAGCAACACAGCTGCTCTGCTTTTAAAGCATCCCATTGAAAAGTGGGACACTGACCAAAGGATCATGGAATCCCACAATATCCTGGGTGGGAATGGACCCACCAGGATCATCCAGCCCAGCTCCTGGCCCTGCTCAGACCCCAACAGCCCCACCCTGGGCATCCTCCAGACACTCCTGGAGCTCTGGCAGCCTCAGGGCTGTGCCCAGCACCCTCTGGGGGGAAAACTTTTTCCTAAAATCCATTAAAATCCCCTTTAGATTCAGCCCTGGCCCACAGCACCCAGTCCTGCAGTGTGCAAGTTCATTCTGCACTTACTGAGGCAAACCAGGAGCCTCCTGAGACAGATTGCCTGAAAACTCCTGCTGAAAAATAAACTTTGCAGTGGTGTGGGTTTGTGGGAAGCACTTACCTCACCTGCCCTGGGCTCCTGGGGATTGAGATTGGCTCAGGGGTTTGGAAATGTGGGCCAAGCTCAGCTGCTGGGAGTCTCTGGAAGGAGAGTGGTGGAAATGTTGCTAATTATCAACTATTTAAATTCTATTGAGCAACTACAAATTATCAATTAGCTACATATTGTTATAAGCTAGTCTAAATTAGAAATTTTGTATATATTATTATCAGCAATGTCACATTGGCTTTAATTTGGCTTCAAAGACCATGGTGGGAGGTGACCCAACCTGCCCTGAGATTTTAATTCAAATTTTCTGCCTCCCACCAAAAATTCCCCTACATTGAGGTATCCTCAGTATATATAAATTCTCTTGAGCAACTACAAATTATCAATTAGCTACATATTGTTATAAATTAGAAATGTTTTATATATTATTATCAGCATCCCCACATTGGTTTTAATTTGGATTTGAAAACCATGGTGGGAGGTGACCCAACCTGCCCTAAGATTTTAATTCAAATTTCTACCTCCACCAAAAATTCCCCTACATTGAGGTACCCTCAGCATATATAAATTCTATAGAGCAATTACAAATCATCAATTAGCTACATATTGTTATAAGCTAGTCTAAATTAGAAATATTTTATATATTATTATCAGCATCCCCACACTGGCTTTAATTTGGCTTCGAAAATGATGGTGGGAAGCGACCCAACCTGCCCTGAGATTTTAATTCAAATTTCATAGCTCCCACCAACAATTCCCCTACCTTGAGGTATCCTCAGTATATATAGATTCTATTGAGCAATTACAAATCATGAATTAGCTACATATTGTTATAAACTAGTCTAAATTAGAAATGCTTTATGTATTATTATCAGCAATGTCACATTGGCTTTAATTTGGGTTCGAAAATGATGGTGGGAAGCGACCCAACCTGCCCTGAGATTTTAATTCAAATTTCATCGCTCCCACCAACAATTCCCCTACCTTCAGGTATCCTCAGTATATATAAATTCTATTGAGCAACTACAAATTATCAATTAGTTGTATATTGTTATTTATTCTTCTAAATTAGAAATGTTCTATATATTATTATCAGCATCCCCACACTGGCTTTAATTTGGCTTCGAAAACCATGGTGGGAGGTGACCCAACCTGCCCTAAGATTTTAATTCAAATTTTATACCTCCCACCAAAAATTCCCCTACATTGAGGTACCCTCAGCATATATAAATTCTATTGAGCAATTACAAATCATGACTTAGCTACATATTGTTATAAACTAGTCTAAATTAGAAATATTTTATATATTATTATCAGCAACCACACGCTGGCTTTAATTGGCTTCGAAAATGATGGTGGGAAGTGACCCAACCTGCCCTGAGATTTTTAATTCAAATTTCATCGCTCCCAGCAACAATTCCCCTACCTTGAGGTATCTTCAGTATATATAAATTCTATTGAGCAATTACAAATTATCAATTAGCTACATATTGTTATAAATTAGAAATGTTTTAAATATTATTGTCAGCATCCCCACACTGGCTTTAATTTGGCTTTGAAAACCATGGTGGGAGGCAGCCCAACCTGCCCTAAGATTTTAATTCAAATTTTATGCCTCCCACCAACAATTCCCCTACCTTCAGGTACCCTCGGTATATATAAATTCTATTGAGCAATTACAAATTATCAATTGGTTGTATATTGTTATTAATTATTCTAAATTAGAAATGTTCTATATATTATTATCAGCATCCCCACACTGGCTTTAATTGACTTTGAAAACCATGGTGGTTTTTGAACCTGCCCTGAGATTTTAACTCAAATTTCATCGCTCCCACCAAGAATTCCCCTACCTTGAGGTACCCTCAGTATATATAAATTCTATTGAGCAATTACAAATCATCAATTAGCTACATATTGTTATAAACTAGTCTCAATTAGAAATTTTTTATATATTATTATCAGCAGCCCCACACTGGTTTTAATTTGGCTTCAAAAACCATGGTGGGAGGCGACCCAACCTGCCCTGTGATTTTAATTCAAATTTCATACCTCCCACCAACAATTCTCCTACCTTCAGGTATCCTCAGTATATATAGATTCTATTGAGCAACTACAAATTATCAATTAGTTGTATATTGTTATTTATTATTCTAAATTAGAAATGTTTTATATATTATTATCAGCACCCCCACATTAGTTTTAATTTGGCTTCAAAAACCATGGTGGGAGGTGACCCAACCTGCCCTAAGATTTTAATTCAAATTTTATGCCTCCCACCAAAAATTCCCCTACATTGAGGTACCCTCAGCATATATAAATTCTATAGAGCAATTACAAATTATCAATTAGCTACATATTGTTATAAACTAGTCTAAATTAGAAATTTTATATATATTATTATCAGCAATGTCACATTGGTTTTAATTTGGCTTCGAAAACCATGGTGGGAGGCGACCCAACCTGCCCTGAGATTTTAATTCAAATTTCATAGCTCCCAACAACAATTCCCCTACATTGAGGTATCCTCAGTATATATAAATTCTATAGAGCAATTACAAATTATCAATTAGCTACATATTGTTATAAACTAGTCTAAATTAGAAATGTTTTATATATTATTATCTGCAGCCCCACATTGGCTTTAATTTGGCTTCAAAAACCATGGTGGGAGGCGACCCAACCTGCCCTAAGATTTTAATTCAAATTTTCTGCCTCCCACCAAAAATTCCCCTACATTGAGGTACCCTCAGTATATATAAATTCTATTGAGCAATTACAAATCATCAGCTACATATTGTTATAAACTAGTCTAAATTAGAAATGTTCTATATATTATTATCAGCAGCCCCACAGTGGTTTTAATTTGGCTTCGAAAACCATGGTGGTTTTTGAACCTGCCCTGGGTTTTTAATTCAAATTTCATCGCTCCCACCAACAATTCCCCTACCTTGAGGTACCCTCAGTATATATAAATTCTATTGAGCAATTACAAATTATCAATTAGCTACATGTTGTTATAAACTAGTCTCAATTAGAAATTTTCTATACATTGTTATCAGCAGCCCCACATTGGTTTTAATTTGAGTTTGAAAATGATGGTGAGAAGCGACCCAACCTGCCCTGAGATTTTAATTCAAATTTCATACTTCCCACCAACAATTCCCCTACCTTCAGGTACCCTCAGTATATATAAATTCTATTGAGCAACTACAAATTATCAATTAGATGTATATTGTTATTTATTATTCTAAATTAGAAATGTTTTATATATTATTCTCAGCACCCCCACATTAGTTTTAATTTGGCTTCGAAAATGATGGTGGGAAGTGACCCAACCTGCCCTGAGATTTTTAATTCAAATTTCTACCTCCCACCAACAATTCCCCTACCTTGAGGTATCCCCAGCTTGTGGAAGCCACGGCTGCAGCTGCTCCCTGTGCCTTCTGTGCTGTTGACATGACCCTTGTGATCTCTCTAGCACCAATCCCCTCGCTGCCAAACTGCACAGCATTCTCGCAGATGAAGCTTTTGAGTTTTACTGTAGCCAGTGCCACAAACAAATCAACCGCCTCGAGGATCTCTCTGCTCGCCTCAATGATCTTGAAATGAATAGGTAACTGGATGTGCATGGCCATCCCAGCCTGGGAAGGATGTTCTGCATGGGGAGGCTCTCCTTGTCTGGCACAGCTTTTCCCTCTGTGTGCTGGTGGGGAGGGGATGAGTTTCACCCAGCCAGGAGGCTCTGCAGGTGTTTGAGGTGGTGGGGAGCTCGTGGAGGGTGAGCAGGAGGAGCCTGTGGTGCGGACAAGGAGAGCATTCCCTGCCCTTTGCATGCCTGTGCATGGTGGGTTCCATGGGAGCAGTGAGCTGCCCATGTGTCACTGCAGGACACGAAACAACACGAGCACACACACACTGCTGTTCCCAAGGTGAGAAAAGGGGAGTTGATTTTCTGACTCGTGCCAATGGGTTGGAGGGTGAAAGTGCCACCTCTCCAATGACACTGGACAAACTAACAGTCTATCAAATTCTTCTTCTTTTATAAAAGAACGCAAACCAGTAAGTTATTGACAGAAACTGGGTGAGAAAGTTCGTTACAAGAATGTAAACATCAGAAGGCTTAGAAAATCTTAAAAAATCAGGGTGACAACCATGCACAGTACTTCTGTCACCAAGGAAAGACGGGCAGTGGTGTGCAGGGGCAGGGACTGTCCATCCTCCTGCTGCAGGAACAACCTGAAGGCATCAGTAAAGTCCCATCTCACCCAGCTTCACCCACAGCCTGCCCACCCCGGTGTCACCATGGGCTGGGCAGATGTGACAGACACCAGGAACATCAGGAGGTTTTGGATGGAGTTCTGGAGGTCTCCCAGGCAGCAGCTGGATGTGGTGTGTGACAAGTGGAGAGGGATTTCTGCCTGTTGATTTGTTCATTCAGAGCTGGTTGCAGCCCTCTGGGTGGAAGGATGGTGGCATTGGTGATAAATCTTTCTTTTCATGGGTATTGTGGCTATTCAGGCCTGGTTTCTGTCATGTTCTTAGTTTCTGTCTGTCCTTTGCAGGGACAGTGTGATCTGGGAGCTCTCCTGGTCTATGGGAGAACTGCAAAACAAATAGGAGCTTGAATTTAATTCTTTTTAATGAGAAAAAAGGTCTCTCCCTTTGTTTTTCTTGGCTAAATAGTTGTCTTTGCTGTTGGAGGCCCTGAGGGTCAGTGATGGGTCTCAGGTTATGCAGGTATTAAGGAGAACACTGGTTTTCCCTAGAAGCCCCATTCCATTTCAGGTTTTCTCCACCACACCTACCTGCAAAGCTGAGCTAGCACCTCAGAGCCTCTTGTGATGGGTGGGATTTCCTGTGGAGCTTCTCTGTGCCTTGATCATGGTGGGAATTCCACAGGCTTTGATTTGCCCTGTGAGTAGGTGCAATTCCTTCATCTGTGTTCAGGGCTCACCAAGTACACATTTACTGGGAATACATTCCAAGGGGCTGTGTGGAAGGGGCAGTGCCCCTGTTTGTGTGCTGTGGATGGGAGGTGTCCTGTGCAGAGTGTGGGACATGCAGGACCTGCTGCTCCTCCCTGCATCACCACTGACCTGAGGCCCTCAGAGAGGGGACAAATCCTGGAGCAGCAGGAACTGGACCAAAATCTGGGACAAGCCTGAAGACACCTCCTCCAGGGGATTCTGGCAGCTGGGATGAAGCCCAGAGCACCCCAGAACAGCCTCACTCATAAGAACTGCGGGCACACAGACAGTGTTTTGTCCTTGGAACAAACTGGGGAGCTTGCTCCCAGCATTGGGGTGCAGCCTGGGAAAGCAGGCAAGACTCCTCCAGGAGCTTGGCATGAAGTGCTTTGTGCCTCTGTTTTGTTCCAGTGCCCTTGCTGCTGTCTCAGCCTTTGGACACTGCAGGTGCCATGGCTTCCCCAGGAGATTTTTCCAGAGGAAAATATTTTCCCCCCAGTGCTGGGGCCATTCCTTACAATCCCTGGCAAACACCAGGGCCTGACCTCCTCCCCTTGGGCGCCGAGCAGCCTTGAAGCCCAGCCAGCAGCAGCTCTTGTGCTCCCTGGAAGTCTGGGATTTGAGGATGCACTTTGACCCAGGGCTGGTCACCCTGACAACAGCCCCCAGTCAGGTTTGGGGGTTGCTTTACAAAGCAAATTGTCCTAAGCTATTTTTAATCCCTCCTTCGAAGAACTCGTGTTGCAGCTCCAGGCAGGAGTGGACTTCCAGAGGATTTTATTTGTTATTTTTTCCTAAAACTGAGCTAAGCACCAGGGAATGCAGCTGCTGCTTCTTGGATTGGAGCTGAGTGAGGATTTGGTGTGGCCCGGTGGCATCTTGTGACACCAGCATGGGTGGAAGATGAGGAGTGAGATCCAAGGCCTGTCCACTTCCCCAGCACCAGAAGACTGGAAGGAGCATCTCAGCAAGGAGCTGCTTGTGGAAAAGGCTGGTTCTCCTCAGCAGGAAGAGCCTGCAGCCTGTCCCCTGCAGGTGGGACACGGTGACACAGCCCTTGGCTGCTCGTCCTGCGGTGACACTGATCCCTGACCGCTGTGGCATGGACCAGCTGGCTCAGCCATGGATCCAAGGAGTGATCCCTGTCAGTTATCCCTGACAAGGAGAGAGAGCTCATCCCCTCCCCAGCCACTGCAGCAGTGCCATGCTCAAAATCCAGACAGGGACACCACCAACAGCTCCTAAAGCAAGGGCTCAGCTCCAGCTCCAGATGGGATTACTCTTGGGGACATCA